AATTCTGAGTAAAACCAAAGTTACTTTCCCTAGTAACTAGTTACTTTGAAAGTAACGAGTAACTTGAAGTAACTGAGTTACTTTTGAGAGAAGTAACTAGTAATGTAACTAAGTTACTATTTTAAAGTAACTTACCCAACACTGCTGATATTACACAGTGGGGCTGTGTGGGTATATACATGTAGTGCTGCTTTCTTTCTGCTCATTGTTACAGCTTGTTTTCCTCAGTCTGCAACTGGATTTATTTAGTAATTAATCCTCAAACACGGCTCAACACGGCTAGTTGAGATCCATCGTGAGGTTATAGTTGGTTCTCTGTTTGCTCCTCTTTTCTCTGCTTTCTAGAGTGTGAGATCCACTTAAGAAAGAGAGCCCCAGCGGTGTTTTTCGAGTTTCTGATTTTGGGAGCAACATGAATAATTGTGTGGGCCTGTTGGTTGTTGTTTCTGTTCTCCCTCCCTTTAGTTTGTGTTGTGACTTTTCTTTTTGTTCTTTTTGATATAGCTTTGTTGCTCTTTCATTGTGTTTAGACCTATTAAAATGCTGCTTATTTTTTAACCTCTCTTCTGTTTGGCTTCTTTTTGTTTTCTTATTTACTGTTGATCTCCACACTGTCCCCTCATCACATGACACCTGAGCAATATGCAGTGTGTGAGATTATTATATTCAAACTGCTCATGATGACTATACTTTCTCCAACTGAATTAAATAATTGTGGAACCTAATTTGTTCATCTCCCTTAACTTTCATCCCAACAGGTTTCCTATGAAATCATTTGTAATTTAGATCAGTGGGTCTTAACAGATACTTCCTCAATTTGAACAACTGGAGAACGAACCTTCAAAAGGTGTCCTTTTTTTCAAAAGTGTATCATATTTGATACATGAAATTTTGAGTTTTTGAGACTATGACATCATCACTGATTTTTTTCCCCCCAGAAAATTCTCACATTCTAAATTTTTCAAAAGTCCCCGATAGTGCAAAAAATTTTGTTTTTGATATTTAGGTATTTGTGTGTTTGTCGTAAAGTTCAATAAAGAGCCCAGTTCCAAAAAATGAATTTTATTTTTCTGGCAATTTTCTTTTAAAAAAAAGACAAGTAACACATGAATGTTGACAGCACATTCTTTTCAGACTCAGAACACAAAAGGTGAATCTGTCCATCTTCTCTACTATCCACATGTTGAACAGGTTATGCCTTAATGAGCCCTGTGGTAACATGAGACAAACAACAAATATATAACCTTATATTCATATATGGCTGCAGGAAAATAGGTCAGATAATTAAAGAGGAGTTTCTGCTGAGAATAACTTTCAGAAGTTGTGACTCATCACTTTGAATGTGACTGTCACATAATCCACAACAACAATCCACTAAGTGGCTTTAAATTTATATATAAAATGTATATACTATATTCCAATGTATACTATAATAACCTTTGCTGCATTGTTGTAGGAAGCATTTGAATTAATTAAAACTTTACTAACAGCATGAATTCATTTTTTTATATAGCACCAAATCACAAAAAGAGTCACCACACGGCGCTTTATATTGTAAGGTAGACACTACAGTAATACATACAGAGAAAAACACAACAATCATATGACCCCCTATGAGCAGCACTTTGGCGACAGTGGGAAGGAAAAACTCCCTTTTAACAGGAAGAAACCTCCGGCAGAACCAGGCTCAGGGAGGGGCGGGGCCATCTGCTGCGACCGGTTGGGGTGAGAGAAGGAAGACAGGATAAAGACATGCTGTGGAAGAGAGACAGAGGTTAATAACAGATATGATTCAATGCAGAGAGGTCTGTTAACATACAGTTCAGTAAGGACAGATCATTAGAAAGAATTAACATGATTTATTGATTAAGAGAATATAGATAGATATTTGGTGATTAGACTCTGATGGCTTGTCTTGGCAGAATGGAACCCCAGCTGTGAAAGGGATTAGAGCAGAACCCCCCCCCCGGAGTCTAGATGCTTGTGGTGGAGATCCAGGTGGCTTGAATGGCGCTTGAGTAATGCGAGGCGGATATAAGGAGGAGGTGGGTGCTATAAAGGCGTCTGCAAAGGAGAATGACCAATGTGCAGTAAGATTTAAAGTACGCGGCATGAATGCTGATTGGCCTAGAAAAGGTGATTGGACTAGATGACACAAACAGTTTGACAGGGTGGGAAAGTGGAAGTGATACAGCTTATATTCAGCAGGCACCTCAGAGCTGAGGGATGTGAGAGGCCATTCTTTATTAAACTTGCTTCATTGAGTAAGAAAGGTGACTGAAGAAGAAACACTCAGCGCAACATGGGAATCCATCCAGCCGTCCACACCTATTGCAGCATAACTAAGGGAGGATTCAGGGTCACCTGATCCAGCCCTAACTATATGCTTTAGGAAAAAGGAATACAATTTGTTTAGCCTAGCATAATAACTGGAAACTGGTTGAGCAGCTAGCTTGTCTGTATTCAAAATTAAAGATAAAGATCAGCTGTACCTGGGCCTCCTTGTTCTGATGATTGTTTGCCCATAACTGATGTTTTCAGGTCTCACTGCTGAGTCCACTGAATCAGTCACTGCACAATAACATACATTTAATTTAGTGAGGTACAACAACTGCAAATCTATACCACACACAGCTATAGCAACACTTAATTTACTTTCTGCAGCATTATGAAACAATTAAGTGATGATGTTTACAAACTGCATGAGCTTTTCAGAGTTTCCTCCTCTAAACACCTGCTGTTGACCACAAAGCATTGGGGGGCATTTCTGAGAAAAACAAGCTGGACGACCACAAAGCTGCCATCTTGTTTCAGTGCAGCTGGAGATACTTCACCACAGAGCACAAAGCAAACACTTTCTCACAGCATGAATAATATTATTAACAAAGCAGCACACACTGCAGTGAGAGGTCTGATCAGACTGACAGCAGGAAGTAGCTGCTGTGGTTTTACACGCAGAACTTTAAAAATGATTGATGCTTTAAAGGACAGTTTGAGAGGATCAAAATGAATAGTTAATGCTCTTTCTTTACTGATCTGTCTTTTCAGTCTCTCTGTTTATGTCTTATAATAAAAGTAAATTATTCCTGATAATAAAGCTAACAGCTAGTTTTAGACAGATAGATTACAGACACATCTGAGCTGCTTTTAGTGATTATCGGTTATTTCTAACATTATTGAATATCCTGTGTGGTCTCTGCACACATCTTTCCTCTATTTATATTCCTACCCTGTTTATTCTCCTGCTGTAACTATGTGAATATACCAAGTCTGGAACTAATAAATGCCATCTTATGTTTTATTCTCCATAAAACACAGCAGTGAGTCCCACTGGTAAACTGGCAGATATGTTGATGCATTTCTGTGAACATAAATAGGAATGAAGTAAAAAACGTTTAACAAATTATTTTTACTAAGTATTTTCTGTCTGACCCTCTGTCTCTAAATCTAGATCAGCTGGTTTAGGAAAACGAATTAATTGTTATTGTAAAATAAAGTTTTATGTGTTCAGCGGGAGCCACAGAGCAGAGAAACAGGAAGTGTTCTTGGTTTAAGATACACTGTAACAGAAAAAAAGGAACCACTAAACAGTTTTAAACTTTATAACACAAAATCAGTTACACTTCAGGGATGTCAAACTCTGTGTACATCTTCTTTCCCTTTTTTATTTTTAAATAAACATCTTTTAAACAGGATAGCATTTAAGGAAAGTATGAGTGAGGGTGTTTAAATAAATTAAAACCATGTAACAAGTGTTATGTGTCTCTGCCACGGTACTGGGTCTATGACCCAGTGTTTTATGTTTGCTTAATTATATTGCTTGATTATTTGTGATTCATGGCTTTGGTTTCTTGCTGGTTTTCTGTGCATATTATATGTCTCTATATGTCATGACTCTGAGTCTGCGTCTTTCTGAATGTCTTGTGCTTCATGTTTTATTTTGATAGTCCTTGTCCTATGTCAGTGTATTCTGCTCTGCTTCGTTTTAGTGATGGGTCGTTCGCGAACGAAATGGCTCTTAGAGC